TCAACCTTGTATGATCACTTTCCTTATACCGACTACATGTCGATATCTTCTTCTCTTCACCCTTAGACGGTATACGATCGTGATTTTTTGGTCGGCCAGGTAGCCTTCTGTCCGTAACTGGTAGAAAAACTGTTTGTAAGTCATCTGGTATGTCTCACTCATAATGATGTGGAATAGGGTAGACAATCTCGGCATAAGTCTGTCGATATACTTCTGTAGTGTAGCAATCCATAGCGTATGTGCTTGAATCATCTTGGTTTAGATGAAGAGCAACTTTTATAACATGGCCACATGGATAACCAGTTATTTGTCATTTCATACAACTACACGTCTTTGCATTTAGATCGATAAGTCCATTTAAGTTATTATCCAAGACTTCAAACAAAGTGTTTGAACATGGTTCAACTCTCCATGACGTTAACTTCACAAAACGTTTCGTTATCTTTTTTTCAGTCCATGGTGTAACACGACGTTCTAATGTTCCTGTAATTTTAAATAAATAATACTTAGTAAAATCTATTAAATATGATAAGTTACGAATTTAAAGAAATAATACATGCATGGTTTCTTTTCTTATAGTACCACTGTTGAATAGAGGCTCGAAAAAACTCCATTAACATAGAAATGGGTAATTTTTGGGAATGACGACTTAGAGCGTTGATTGATTCTGCACTATTAGACGTCATGAAACCATATCTTGCTCCAAGTTGATGTACTCTTGACCATTTTTCAAACCCGACATCTTCTAGTGTTTGAGCACATTGAAGCAAAACACGTCTTAAACAATTTATATGCTTATTAAAATCCACTTCCCGATAAGCTTTTACAGCCTTCCAGTATGTCCATTTGTGATTTTTTATACCAGTAAACCTTGATTTTAGATTTCTGTACAAATGAACACCACAAAGTCCATGAAAAGCATCTGGGAAACAGCTTCTAATAGCGTTATCAATTGAGTTTTCCCTATTGGATATGATTGTCATATTGCTAATAGGACCTATGCAATCCCTAAGATGCCCCATAAACCATGTCCATGAATCAGAGGTTTCAGATTTGCCAACCCCGTAAGCTATAGACAGTATCTCATTGTTAGCATCCATGGCTACTGCTAATAAGTTTGTTCCAAGTATCAACATTTCAATTATGCTCCGTCAACTATAATATCTGGGCACATGCAAGTAATAAACAAACGAATCTACAAAATAATATACATAAAAAATATAATTATTTAAATGTGAAATACATGTAACTAACAAAAATGAGTCAACAAAATTATATTGATTTACTAACCGCATCGCCAATGGCGATAAACAACAACTCAAAATGTCCATCTCTATATGTTTTGATATGAGTTACCGACCCAGGATTTTTCAGCTTTAAATTGTGACAATAAGCCGGTAGTTGGGCAAACGATGCTTCTGGCGACCCCCTCAACAATTCCAAGGCATAACATTTGGCTCTCCAAGCTTGAGAATATGAGATACTAATCTTGAACCGAGCATTCATGTCAGTTATAATTTCATGACCCCGATATACTTTACCATTCAAAAACATCAACTCAGCCAAAAAACCACCCAACACCTTTTTGTTTGTCTGTCTATGGTGAGGAAAAACTTGGGTTATTGAACATGTATGTTTATCAATAAAAGTCCTAACTTGAAACATTTCGTAATGTTTTATCCTCTTTGCAATCATACGCCACGTACAGTTTTTGTCAATTCTACACTTTGTTTCAAAACGATCTTTGCTTGATTTGTTAACTTTTAGTTGATAGCCCATCTTCGGGAACTTCTTATTTTTCTTCTTTTTTTTCTTTAAGGTTATATGAATTACATAATGGATGTTCAACATGTTCATTCATAGCTGTAACTTCCTCCTCATTATCATCAACAATATCTTCCTCAGCAGCAGATATTTCATCATCAAAATCCGGGTATTGACCAATATCAAAATCATTATTGTAATAAGCAGGGTATGTTTCTTCTTCTGAAACATCATCAAAATCCAAGTATTGACCAAGATCAAAGTTCGGGTATTGACCAAGATCAAATTTTGAATATTGTCTAGTACTCACATTTTTATCTGTTGGCTCATCATCGTCTAACTGGTCAATACGAAAACCGGAATTTGGGTCTGTAAATTGATTGGGATTTGGATTAGGGAAAAGTTGTGGATTTTGAGATTGTGTTTGATATTGAGTTTGGTATTGGAAATGTGGTGAAATAAAATTTTCTTGGTGATGAAATTGTGGTGGAACCATGAAATTTTGAGGTTGATAACAACGTTGTACATTGTGAGCACCATAAACTGAGGTTGAAGAACTTAGTTGATTACTACCCGTTACTGATCCAACTTCACTATTTCTAGGTTCAACAACATACAATGTAACATCATCTTGCGAAACACTAATGTAAGCAATGAATCGTTCAACATCTTCATTGTCGGTTAACAAAAAAACTTTACTCTTTCTCTGATAAGATAGCCTAAATCCACTTAGAGGCTCTAAACTCAATTTCTTTGAAACACGTAACATTAGATTTTCATAAGTTAACTTTTTTAATGACAGTTTTAGTTGAAGATTCATGGATAAAGACATATATTGTAAAACACCATTAACATTCTCACATGACCCTCCATAACACAAATCTATCCAAACATGATCAACATTAGATGATTTCATTTTACAAATTGTAAATAAAGTAATTTACTAAACAAACGAGCTATAAACTAGATATCATCACTAACTTAGAGAAAAACATACATTTATTAAGTTGATACTTGATAATTTGGGAGAGAAATCATTGAAAAATTATATAGAAATAAAATTATGTAAAAAATTAGAGATGGGGAAGGATATCGTCGGATATGGGGACGGATGTCGCCAAAGAGAGTGAGAGATAGAGATGGACTGAGTTCCGATTTAGGGGTTTAGGTTATGAGTTGTTACTGCTACGTAGTTTATATACCCAAAACATTTGTGTTGTAAAATTAAAAGATGTGTTGCGAAATTAAAATTCGCGTTGCGAATACAAAAATCGAGTTACGAAAACGAAATTCATGTTGTGAAATTGAAACTCGCGTTATGAATTAGAAAATCTTGTTGCGAATTTAAAAATCGAGTTGCGAAAAGAAAATTCGTGTTGCGAAATTGTCAAATTCGAGTTGCGAATTCGACTTTTGTGTTGCAAATTCCAAATTTTGTGTTGCAAATTCGGAAACTGTGCTGCGAAATTGGATTTTGTGTTGCAAATTCGAAATTGAGTTGCGAATTCGTTGGTTATTTTTGCAAATCCAAAAAAATTTGGTTAAAATCGTATATTATAAGGTATTTTCGGTCACTCAAGTTATTTTCTCTTATATAAATTAATTTTGGTTTAATACAAAAATAAGTACATAAAGAATGTCTCGAAAAATATTTTAGTGTCTATAGAATTTTTTGTTAAAAATACATATTTAAAGTTTTCTCCGTTACATTTTTATATGTCTACCATTAAAAAAATCTTTAAGTGGCACATTTCACGTTCATATTTTTTAAAAAATAAAATATTTTTAAAAAATTTAAAAAAATCTGGACGTAACACGTGTCACTTAATGATTTTTCTTATCGTAAGCACTTAAAAGTGTAACGAAAAAAATTTTAGGCACCTATTTTTAACGAAAAAATTCTTTAGGCACTACACAAAAAGTTAATTTTTAGTTTAGTTTATACACCTATCTTTATATTAAGCCATTAATTTTTTAAGAAGCATGAAAATCATTTCAAAATATTCTTTTTTTAATCTAGGGATTATAAGTGATAGAATTGGTTTTAAATTTTTTTTAATAAGAATGAACGTTTAAATATTATATAATTATTGGTAATTGAATTTGAGAATTTTAAAGTTAACGATTTTCATTTAATTAATGAGATAATTTGATTTGTTTTTTAAATTATTTTTAAATTCAATTGCATATCACCATATTTCTATCACTATAAAGTGTTAAGACAAATATAATAGGGTTTAAGTTGTCTTCCTCCTCGTTCGGATAACTAAAGTTCACATAAACTAAAACCAAAAGGGTTTCATGCAGACAGCACAGATTTTCATGGTTTCGTTATTCGATTGACATTCACATTCTGATCCTTACAATACCCATCAATTTCAAACCCCAAATTATACTCCCTTTATCCCACTAAATATATTTCTTTTAATTTTTAAATTTATTACATTTAAAGTGTTCTATTAAAAAAAAAGTTAACAAACAACAACATTAATAATTTTTTTTTATCTTTATATCCCACTATGTTATACCTACCAAAATCAATTTATCAAATATATCAATCATTTTTTGGGATAATTTTATCATTTATCTTAGTTAAATATATCTCCTAAAACTATGTACATAGTCAAATATCAAAAACAAATAATAGGACGGAGAGAATATATATATATATCGATCTTTGTCTTATTTCAAAGATTTCATTCTTAGATACTTCATATCCTTTTTTTCATTTTTTTAATATTTAAAAATAAAACGGGGAAAAGTAATAGAAAACATGATGCTAAATCGTACCTTATACTACTCGTTATATTGATATTAATAAAAGATTACAATTAATTCGTTGATTTTTTTTTAATTCAGAAATATATTGTATTAAACATGTTTTTATTCAAAAGAACAGCAATTAAGTAAGAGACGTCATAATAATCAGTGTATGATGAAAACGATAATACAATGAGAAAATTAATATGAAATCGAGAGAGTATTATTTACACATCCATATAATCAAATTAAGAGGAGAGGGTTTAACCTAAAAGATCAGAAAGGAAGACAAAATAGGGTTGAACTTTTAAACTATTTCATGGTTAATATGGAAATAATTATAAACAAAAAAGATTCAATCTCTTTCGTGTATCATTGTGAAAAAATATTCACCATCATTTCCTTGATATTCTTTGTTCAGATTTTCTCAATTTTGAAAACTTTTTTTTTTCTACGATGAAATTATTTAGATACTCCTAATCTGATGAATATATCCATGATTCCACCATACCTTCACTTCTCGAAGCCACGTGTTCCGGTTCTTCATCCCCGTGAAAATCCGATAAGTTGCTCACTTTCCCGTTCATGGAACGTAGGAGACTCTGATCATGTTCCTTTGAAGATACCATGTTTTGAAGCTCGGCGAGGCTGGTATTGGCATGGCCTTGGCTCAAACCAAACTCGGAACGAACATCCAAGGACTCGTGTGACTTTGTTCCGGTAATGTTTGAACCTGAAAGTGGGTATTTTGGACGGGTTTGAAGGAGAGGTTGAAAGTTAAGAATCGGGTTTTGCATGTTGATGTTGAGTAGATTCTGAGTCTGCTTTAAATGGCCTAACTCGGATGGTAGTTGGTAGTTGATGGAGGTTGAACCAGACCTAGTGTTGTTGCTGCTGCTGTTGGTGTTAGTTCTAGGATTAGAAACTATAGTGTCTGCCATCGATGAGCTAAGAAGAGGTGGAGGGCTGAGTTTTTGAACAAATGGTCGTAAAAGATAATGAGGAGGTGATAAAGGGTCGAAATGGGTTAGATCGAGCCTAGCTCCTTGAAAAGGTGAGGAGGTGAAGGGTGGCTCGGGGATCCCGGTGAACACTTGAACCATGGCTCGGAAATTGGTGGTATCTGTGGTCATAACAGTTGTTGGCGCACGCCTAGAAGCTCTGTTTCTCTTTTTCGGATTACGCACCGTCTTGCTCTTGTTGTTTAGTTGGCTATTTGTAACGGAAACCGAGCATTGGTTCCAACTTTCTGGTCCTTGAGGGACCTGCAACAATGGAAAACTGTCTCTACTATGTGATTGTTGGTTGGTGAACAGCTGTTGAGTCCTTGGTGATGCCGATGAGGCAGCCATGAACCCACTAAGATCAGTGTAATTTGGCTCAGATCTTAGATTTTTGGACCCAATCGCATCGAGATTAAGGACCGATCTTGATAAAGGATGATGATCTAAGTACGATAAAGGGTCGAACATAGTCGATGAAGAGTTGCTCTGTGGTTGCTTTAGCACCGGCAGCGGCGGCGGTTGGCTACCCAAAGGATTATGACCGATACGGCTCAATGGGCTATGGTTGAAAAAAACTGAGATTGACTCAACGCGTGAATCATACTCTTCACCGCCACCACTTGAAGATTGCAAACTACCACTATTACCGGAACCCATGGGAAGAAAAAAAAGACGTAAAACAAAAGAACAAAGATCGTTTCGGACAAGAGTTTTTTTAGCTTATCTCACCATATTTGAAGACTCATTTAAGAAGGAAACAAAGACAAAACACAGAACACAAAGCTAAAGCTAAAGCATGAGGTAATAATTATAATACGATCGAAAGAGAAAAGAGAGGAAGATCTTCTGGAACCATCAAAAAGTACCCATAAATATGCTGTCTTTAATCTGCAAAACTAAGACACTGTTTGCTTGCTTGCTTTGTTTTTGAACAAAAGAGTATAAAAGCTCAGGGATCATCAATGGCTAAAGAAGAGATGGAAAATCAAAGTTCAATTTTTTTTCCTGTTAGACTAAAGGGAAATTAAAGAGATGTTTGGTTCGACTAATCTGCTGCTTGTAGATCTGAGCTGTGGTTTTTATTTTTTCTTTTAGCTTTATATTTAAAAGAAACAAAAATAACATCTTTTTATGTTCCTCTTATTACTGCTTTTTACTAAAATATTTTTTATTTTCATATTGTGTATAGTAATTCTTTTAAATATGTTTTGAAAAAAATAAAATAAATTTATCAATATTATTTTCTTAATTTAGTAATTATATTAAAGTTATAACCAGTTAAATTATAAATAAAAATATTATTTACTAAACAATTATAAATAAAAAAATTATTTATTAAAAAATAAATCTATTTACATTATTTGTAATGAAACTACATTATTCAATATTTAAATAATGCACTAATAAAATTATAAACCTTCCTATTATGTTTGACGTCATTTAATTGAATGACGCTAACTCAATTAAGTATACACGTAAAATCAAAAGAAAATCATTTTAAAATAGGCAAAAAAAAAAAGGCTCTTTACATTTTTCTAAAACAAGCTATCTGGTATTCGAATTTATTTTCACTTAATATGACTCTCAAACTTAGAAAAAGAATCTGTTGTGGCTCTTTGACTAACGATTTATATCGTTGATTATTACGAAATTGACATGACACTTTACGATGCTGACATGGCGGTCTACGGTACTTGCATGGTAGCCCATGGTGACTACTGACATGGCAAATGTACTAAAATATTTTTTTTCAAGTTTGAGGGTAAAATTGATTTTTTTTAAAAGTTCAAGGGCTTATTTATTTTTAAAATAAATACAAATATTTAAAATTTAAAATATAAAAATATTATGTTAAATATAAAAATATCATTAATTATTAGTATTATTTATTAAATAAAATATTAAAATTAATAAATCTTTACTATAAAATTAAGAAAAACTAAACATGAATAAAAAGAGAAAAAAAAATTAAAATATCAAATATACGAGAATAAAAATACATCATTTAAAAATAAAAATAAAATATCCATACTAGTAAGATAAAATGAGTTCTCGACAATTATTTATATTGCATTACAAAAAATTCTCCTCCAATCAAATTTATATTATTTTAATCACAAATTTATTATTCATAGATATCGTTTTAAATAGCATAACAAACTAATACCAAAAATAATAGAGGTGGCAATCGAGTCATTCAGATCGGGTTTGGGTCAGGTCATTTCGAGTTTGGATTCGGGTCGGGTCATGTCAAATCATGTTTAGGTTTAATTCAGGTCAATGGAAATTCAGTTCCGGTAAATCGGTTCAAATAATCGGGTACAGGTAACATTTGACAAATCTACAAAATAATGACATTAATACCAACAACGATGGAAATAAGATGCTTAAGTGAAAGAATCAAATTTTAAGAGGATTGAAAATAAAAATAAAAGGAATAAAGGGCTTAACATATGTTTGTAGTATTTTAAATTTAAAATATTTATATTTAAAAAAAACAAATAAACCCTTAAACTTTAAAAAAATCAATTCAGCCCTTGAATTTAAAAAATCAATTTAACTCATTTATCACGTCATCAGTTATGTCACCAGTCACTGTAGACTGTTATGTCAGTATCGTAGACAGCCACGCCAGCACGATAAAGTATCACGTCAGCATCGTAATGGTCAACAAAGAAAACTGTTGGTCAAAAGATCATATTAGATTTTTTTTTTAAATTTGAGGGCCACAATGAATGCAAAAACAATTCGGTGACCGCATTGATTTTTTTTTTAAAAAAAAGTACATGAGCCTCATATACCCTTTTAATTTTAAAATATTAATAGATACCTTTTTGCTTTTAAAATATTAAAATTAATGATAAAAAATTTATTTGCATTAAAAACATAATTTATCTTATATTCTTGAAAGAAAAAAATCACTCACGTTTTAACCATTCTCGTAGTGAATGGTGAGTTTCTCATAATCGAATACATATATAAAGCATCATGCATCAAATATAATTTATTTTTTAAAATCCATAAAAATACTTTTTTTTAAAAAGGGTAAATTACGCGCTTATTAACTAAACTTTACTCTCTATACTATTTCACTCATCTTACTTTCAATTTTTTCGATTTACGCACTGAACTTTAGATATTAAACTTTTTTTTGTCACTTGACCGTTAAATTTCTAATGTTGTTAAATTAAAATTGAAAAAATTAAAAAGTTCAGTGAGTGAAATATGAGAAAGAGTAAAGTTCATTAAGTAAACGTGTGACATGTTTTATTATTAAAATAAGCCTCGTGGGCACGTCGTTACTGAGTAAACAGTCTAGTAATCCAAAAAGTTCAATGTCTAAAGTTCAATGACCAAATTAGGAAAAAAATGAAAATACGATGAGTGAAATAGTAGAGAGAATAAAATTCAATAAGTAGACGTGTAATTTACTTTTTTTAAAATTATATGAGTTGTTCAAAATTCTTATAATCGAATACGTATATAAAGCATCATGCATCAAATATAAGGTATTTTTCAAAACCCATAAAAATACTTTTAAAAAAAAATCTTATATGTATTGTTCAAAACTTTATTACGCTAAATGGTTAGGTAACATAGATTTAATGATGGGGCTAAAAAAGTAAGTATAGTGCTTCCACCTATTTCTTTACTTTTTATTTGGTATAACCAACAAATAAATAAAACACAAAAAAATTAAAAGTTTCTTAGCCACAGTCTTTGACTAGGTCATGGATGAAAATTCAAAGGAAAATAAATAAATAAGAGTTAATATTTGATTTATGGAAATATAATATTTATGTATTATTAATACATTGATAAAACATCATTACGAATCTATTTAAATAAATACAATTTTAAATTTTTATAATATTATATTATTATTTAAGTCAATGATGATATGTAATAGTTTACTAATACATCAAATTTTAATTTAATAAATAAACTATATTCTCATTATAATATATATATATATAAGGTAATTAAAAACGAAAATGAGAAGAGGTTGGTCTGGACCTGTTATAGGCCCAACTTGCATATGTCATGGTCCATTTGATTTGGGTTAAGATTAATATTTGTGGTTAAAAAGATCCCTTGAAAGTGAGATTTCCAAACTGTAAACTCATCAATGATGATCATATAAATTATAATTGAATTGAATTTCGAATACAAAATAAAAAGATATTGCAATGGCGTTGGATGGTTCTCCAACTTTACCAACCATTGCTCAAGTTGAGACCTTAAAATGCATACATAAAAGAAATGACACAATGTTTGGTGAAAGTTTCTGTCTCTATAAATGTAAGTGTTAACTATTTTTCGCCTTTTATTTTAATGGTAACTTTGACTTACAAATTATTCTGTCGAATAATTTAGGGATTTTTTTTACTTTTTTAATTTAAAGAATATTAGGGTTGTGAAATGAGAATCGTTCTTTAAAGAATGTGAAATTGATTCTATTGTCTCCTCTTGAAGCAACTCCATTATAAATTAAAGTTTCCGAAATAAATCACGTGGTTGGATCGGACTAGACATCCCTCTAAATAATTTTGTTTTAGGGTTTTAAAGACCATGAAAATTACGTGGTCTTGAGAGTTTTAAATTTCTTACTTTGAGAATTTTTTTATTTTATTTTTCATTTTATCTATTTTTTACTCATTTTTTTTCTCCGCAATAATTTCTCTCTCCTCGGTCCATCATCTGCAGCTTGTTATTGGTTGGATTGACCTAATCGGAACCAATTTTTCCCTTAAAATCCGGCTTAATATTAGATCATAACCCATTTAATTCGAGTCTTATATTTATCTCTATCTATAATTATTATATCCAAACAACATTGACTTAATATTTTTAAGAAGAATATCTTTATGAGATGCATGCTTTTCAAAATTACAGTAAAAGTCTATATTACCATATAATAATAATATAAAAAATAAATGGGAATAATAATAATATATACAATGATAACATTATTTGGTCTAATAGGCAAACCAGTTTTTATTTTGTAATCTACAACAAATACTATATTACAAGGGAACTCGTCACCTCAAGGTGACGAGATAGGTTGGATATATTATTTTAATGGTTCCAGTTTAGAAGGCTTCATGTGGGCTATTATTTTAATGTATTTAATGGGACTTGTTACCTTTAGAAATTATTTTTTGAAAAATAATTTGCAAAATTAATTAAAAAATAGAAATAAAAAACTGATGGAACTCGTCATGTTGAGGTCGAGTTCCTCCTGAATTAAAAAAAACCTAGACGTTTAGAGGCGTTGAACAACAGGCAACAACAACGGTCAATTATTAACGATCACCGTGGAACTCGTAACCTCGAGGTGACAAGTTTAGTCGGATTTAATTTTTAAAATATATTATTTAAATAAATAATCTTTTAAAAAAAGATAAATTAATAATTTTATTATAAAAAATAATAAAAGAGTTTTTACAAACTAATACATACATAATAAAATTTATTTATATTTTCGTAGTTCTTGACGATGTCGAGGAGTGGTCAAATGATAATGGCGCGGGTCGGGGCTCATTGAGCACGTCGGGGTCATTCGCCTTGAACGTCTTCGTTTGCTTCTTGAAGAGGAGGTATATTGAACACAATCTGAGATCCACCTTCGAAATACAGTGATGGGATACTTATGGTATTTTGATGCCATCATTATCGTTATTGAATCGACTTGGCTATCTTGTTGACCATATATAATATGATCTC